AAATTTTTAAATATTTTAATATACGCTCACTAGAGGCTTACCTAATTGAAAATACTGTATATATTTAAACTTAAGTGCTAATACGAAAATTAAATGAGGTAACAGACTTGACTTGAAAAAAAAAAATCAACTTTCGAAGCATAGTAAATTCATCTATACCCATTAGGATGCTAAATTGAGTAAAACTGTAAGTTCTACAGTTTTTAAGCTAGAGAACCAAAGTTTGACAGCTAATTTACTTTAGAGTTGCAATTAGGATTGACTAAAAATAGATAGACAGACGTTGATAAACAGATAAACCTATAAATTATGTGGCAGATAATAAAGTAGTTATTTTAAACGACTGTGTAACGTAAATGAATATTATTATTACTCGTTTGAACCTGACTTTAATGTATTTACTTAATTTTGAGGTAATATATATAATTTTTATATTATTATTAGCATTTTTGTTTTAATTACAAGTTTCCCAAGTGTTCATGTTCATCAATAAAAGAAAAAAATAAAATTTTGGAACCATAAGCAGTTAATTTAAAAATGAAATAAGAATTCTATTCGATAAAGACAGACACGTACTCTATATATTACATACAACAGCATTTACATTTTGACTACAGGAAATCCGTTATATAATATTATAACTTAGTCACGAAATGCTTAACGAAATAAATATAAGATATAAATATTATATATAAATTACATATATTAATATTATATATATAAGACACAATTTCGGATAATAATAAATATTGTTTTACTATGAAATTCTCATGTATCTATCTTGGCGAATCTAATATTTTATAGTATTCATTAGCCTGCTTTCTAATAATTGTCTTTTAAAAAAAATTAAATAAAACCTTAAGAAATCTCAATTAATTCAGAGCCCATTCAATGTGATTTAGATAGATAATAAAATTCTATTTATTCATTTATTATTTCATTAATAAAAACCAATAAATGGCATAGAACCAAAATATGTTAAAGTACTGTAGACCTTAACCCATATGCCTGATTCCCGCAATCTCTGATAAAGCCAATTGATTAAGTGCAGGCGCAATCAAAAGAAACGAAATGTCCATTCATTATCAATTCTTTGCTTTGACATTCGCTAAGCTTTAAAATTAACTATTCAAAATGCCCGGCGATACGTTGGGTTCCGCGTTTCGCAAAGCCCAAATGACATTCAAGTGCCGGCCACTTAATAAGACATACTCTAGAAGACTTCACTAGACGCCTTTCATAAATTGCACTTAAGAAATTTAAAATTTGCGACCCACTGCTGGGGTATCATGTTGAGCTGCGCAGTTGTGGGTAGCTTCGAAACCAGCGGCAGCCACTTGCTGCCCCCCACTCCTACACCATTGGCCTGTGATTTTCGTCTTCTTTCTTTCATACTCTGCATTATTCTCAATTTTGCTCTGAAGCGTACTTTGACATTGTTATGTGAACCACGTTAAGTGCTCACAGTTTATTTAGTTATTAGTATAATTGTTGCTTTTTGCTGCAGTTCTAGTTCTTATAACAGTATTTGAGTACAGCAAGTGATTTGCTCAATGGCCTGTGCACGTATACGTAATTAATTAAGTTACATTACTCATACGCCAAGTGAACTGGCATCAAATTTATACGCTTACGGGCGATTGACATTTGACTCGGCTTAACGTGATTTGACATGAAATATAAGTTGAAAAACTGAGAGAGAAAATAAGTGCAAATAAATTGAGAGGGTCAATGGAAGATACAACTGTGCGAGACAGCTCTCTATTCTATTGATTGAAAGTTCTATAAAAAAGTACTAAATATTAAAAAAGCTTTTAAGTACAATTGTCTTTCTTGTATTGACTGACTGTAAATATAGACTGTCTACATCATGTCAACGTTCTGATCAATAATTTATTGAGTTAAGAACGTCTCTTTCGGTTGATGCTAAAGTTTATTTTTAACGTAATAATGATATATAAATTGACGTTATAAGTATATAACAATAAAGGCCTTGCTTTCAACATTATTCTTCAACGTTAGTTACAACCCTTTATCAAGATATTTGAACTCAAAACCTCTGACAATTGAACGCACCTTGAACTACATTGCTAACATATTAACAACCATGTCGAAATGTAGAGAAAGCAAAGTCCCAAAACTGTCATAGATTTCAATCAAACTCGAATTATTCTAATCTTTGCCTTTGTAAAAGTAGATGAGTATAGGGAATCGAATACTCAATTGACTAGTTAACTTAGTTTGAGGGCGCAAAATTATTTATATGTGAGCTCAATGCAGTTAGTAAAACTTGCAGCTTGAATTTAGTTTTAAATGAAACTTAATTAAGAATAAAAAGTTCTCAATTATTTACAGTTACTATTTATATATTTTTGTTAAATTTTTTTTATGAAATTTATTTAATAATTTAATTTACTTATACTTTGAATTTGCAATACATTTTTTAAATGAAGTTTCCTTAAATATAATATATATTTAATAACAATAAATAAGAAATCATTTTTTAATAAATAAAAAATGAAAATGTATACAATTATTTTTTCTATAATTAAAAAGTCAAAAATTTACATTTATAATGCTTATTCAATTATTTATTTAGGATTTAATAATGATAGGCCTCAAAATATTATTACGTTTTATGTTAAAATCAAAAAAATTTAATATTTCTTAAACAAGAATGACTAGAGTATCTACAATTCGAAATGTATTAGTTTTGTTTTTCATTGTGCTTTAATTTTGTAGTTCTGTACAGCTCTTCGACACGCTACTTTATGTAAGCATTAAGACTAGCGCCTCACACAAAAGCTACGGCTATAGATACAGATACACGATGTTGTCGTGTGGATTGTGTGCAATTTTTATTTATTTTTTCTTTATTTTGTAGCTTTTTGCTGTAGTTGTTGTTGCTGCTGCTGTTGTTGCCGGCGTTTGCAATTTGTGCATATTTGTTACAAGGTCAAATCGTCTGATTGTTAAAGTGCGAAAAAGCAAAACTGTAATAAAAATATTGTGCCTATTTTTATGGCCAAATATGTAGGTAGAATATAAATGTTAACTAAAAAAATATATTTATACGCGTATATTTACACAATATTTATTTGATGTTTGCTTAACAAGTTTTTCATTTCTTTGCTGTGTGCAATGTAATTATAGTTACATATTTATTTATGTATTAACTGTACAGCTATATATATGTGACATATTATATTAAAATAGTGCGATAATTTTATGCTAGGAATTAGCAAAACTTTTAATAAACGATGCATTTCCTGAAAACTAAAGCCATGTTGACCAAGCCATGTGTCAACAGCTGAGCTAGATTTTCGTTTAGATTTTCTTCAAAAATTATTTCCTCATATTTGGCAGGCATAAAACAATTTATGATTAAATAGAAAATTTTATTAAATATCTTAAAAATTTTATTGGTATAAAAATATAGTTATCGGAAATAGAGTCACTGGTGCTTTGTCATGTTTAGTTTAACCTATACATCATATCAAATAAGCTATCGGACACTGGCTAAATAGTTATATAGAACTCACAAAGTAACTCCAAAGCTCAATCGTGCTATATAACTTGATTTAAAAAATATACTAAAAAAAATATATATATATAAATATATATACTAAAAATATATATACTAAAAATATATATACTGCTTCCAAACGTTGATCATATACATTGTTGAAAAATAATTTTATTATATATTTTTTCCTCTAAACAACGAGTGAATGTAACGCAGTTGCTTAGTTTCATTTTAGTTTTCGTTTAATTCAATTAATTTAATTTTGTTTTATTTAATTCAAATTTAGTTAAGTCTGAGACGAAAATGTAAAATAAAGTTGTCCGGTCAAGCTATTTGCCTCGTAGATGCTGATGTTGCCAACAGCTGCAGCCATTTGGTCAACAGCAGCAACAACAACAACAAAAACAATACTCAAGCAAGAGCAAAATTTTCAAATTGAATTTTCTGTCAGCTGGCAGGACAGATAGCTGACGCTGACGCTGACGCAAATGACTGCTCGTCTATCCCCAGTGTCAATGCCAGCCGTTTGTCCATATGTCCAAAACTGTGCCTTCAGTGTCGGTTGGGGCAAATTAAATTTTGTGGCCGAAATGCGAAGTGAACGGCACTAAGTGCATGCTGGCCATGATGCAAGCCACTTTTGATGACGTGCTGTGGTCTGGGCCGAAAATTACATTTCCCCTTTTGTTCGCATTTCACTCGACAGCGCCTAATTTAACGATTAGGCGACAAATTGCAAAGCCAAAGACAGCATACGTATCTTAATGTATGTATCTGTAGCTATAGCTACAGCTGCATCTCTTGCCGATGACATAACCAAATGTAACGTCTCAAGAGAGCGAGAGAGAGGGAGAATGTAGAAAAAACAATTACGCACAGTAAGCGTAAATGTCTTCTCTTTGCGTGTATGTGTGCTTTGAGTGGTTTGTGTGGGTGTGTGTTAGCATTTGTAATATTCCTAAGTCATTGCCAGCAATCGATACTAATTACGCTTCAAGGACTTTGTGCCATGGCACCCAGTGAAAACTAGCACACAGATAAGAGCAGGACAACTGAGTGAACTAGATATAGACAGCAAGACAGTCAGACAGACAGACAGACATACGGTTGACAAGATGTAGGAAACAGAATACATGATAAGACCATGTTAGCTTGTGGAAAAGTCACAGACACACATACACACAGAGAAAAAGAGCCAAACGAATGACAAGTGCTAGCAAACAGGTGGAATGCAGCAAAGTCCATTAGAGCACTTGGAAATGAGTTCCAAGAAAAACATTTGATATAGGTACAGGTATCGTACATATATTTAATTCCAGTTAGAAAGCAATTAGCTGGCAATAATAAAATAAATTAAATGTCCTTTGTTGCAATTAAGTAAATCGTTTGCGATATACTTTACATTTTAATACTCTACAAAGTTGTCATAGCTACAGAGATGCATGAATTTAATTAACCTGGCCATCGGGAATGAGAATGGTTGGCAATGGTTGCGTTTGGTATATACCTAAAGAGCAAATGTATTAAATTATAATATTTTTTAAGCCATGTATATATTTACTTATAACATAATATTTGCTTATAGAAATTATATTAATTTATTTATTTTTGTATTAACAAATGAACTGCAGATTTCACTTTAAATTTGCTGAGTTGGTTAGATAGACATATAGATAGATGATTATATAGATAGATAAGTATAAGGATAGACAGACATATACAAATACATATACCTACATCAATGTCATCAAAAAATAACTTGAAATTTCAATCTAAATATACTCATCTTTGCACGTAGCCATCATTGTCACAAAAAGAAAGAAAAAATATGTAAAATATTGTACTGTATGTATAAATAAAATATAAACGCACAACTTACAATATAACTATCGCTTCAACTTTGATTAACATTCACGCTATAGTTCAAGCTAACTTGTTGAAAATGCATACCTATTTGTTGTCTTAATTTTAACAATTTGGTCTCACCGTACCCACTGTTTTGGCTGAGCATTATGCAATAACTTTTACTTTTAGGAAAAAGAAATTATTAACCAACTACAAATAGAAAATCAGACCCCACTTAAATCAACTTTGGATCCCCATAAATTGTTGGCAAATAAATTTCTTCTAAAACATTTCAGGCAAAACGAAAATAGACTGACATAATTTACAGAAATCAATTTGCTGCTGCCCAAAAGAGGCAGATAGATAATGCAAATGCCAATAAATCAGAGAAGGCAAGGATACGAAGTGCCGGCCAAAAAGAAAAATATCCATGCAAAGGGAATAATTTATATAGCAACATATAAAGGATTACGCAGAAGCAATCAGATCAAGGCAAACAAGGACAGAGGCAACGACTTAAGCTGACTGCAACAGCAATCGCACTAAGAATGGCAATGGAAGGATGCAACCACAGCTGGCATTTGGCTGGGCCAAGGTAAGCTGTATGAGGAAGGATGCAAAAGTCCGCTGACGTTGCAGCCAGAGCGGATGTATCAGTGCACGATGCCAATGTACACGACATGCAAGGACAGCAACCAAAATCTGCTGCAATGGCAGCTTGTGCAACAATCGGATTGGCATAACGACATAAGAGCCACAAACTGCATATGCAGTGCATAGCTCTTGCCATTTGTACATAGTTAAGCCAATTTTAGTGTGCCTATAAAACGCTCGACTTAAGCACGTTGTAACTGCTTTAAAGCCTTGGCCGTGGCTATGAATTGAAGTCGTTTTTCCCATAAAGTTTTCTGTACTTTGGGGTGGTGGCGCCACAGGCTCCGACAATCCATGGCACGTGTTGGGCAACCAACAAAACGCAGACAAACAAACAAGCCGGGCGCCAAATTTGGGGGCACAAATGGGTAAACTTTCCAAGTTATGGAAATTATATAAATAAGCAGCGAATGGCATCAGTGGCCGTTGAGATATCCTATAAATGCAGACACGGAATGTTTTCATATATGAGAATTGTTGAAAGAGCTGAGCAACAAAGATATCATATATATCATGTATATTATATATAGTTGTAAATATTTTAATTCTTATTTATATTGAACTCAAACTCAAAGAACTATAAATCTGCGAACTACCAATGCCTGCCTTTGAATTTGATTAGTAAACTCACATATTTGATGAAGCCAACTTTTATATATTTAAAAAAAAATTGTACATTTATATATATGTACATTACATTACATAAAAGCGCGATTGAAGCTCAAGTAATGTATGACAACTGGGCTTCTCTCAAAATTGAAATTATCTAACAAACAAATTTTTTGAATAATAGTAATGTTTGATTCGACAATCAATTTTATGACTTCTTGGTTTACTTTTGGGTGCCTCAAAGATTAAGAGAAACGGAAGGAAGGTTGATTTAAAATTGCAAATTAATGAATATATTGAAAATTTAAAGGTAAAAAGCACGCATAAAATAGAAACATTTTATTTATTCAAATAGTCAAATATTACATTATTATTTATTTAATATTCTTATTATTTACTTATCAAATATTAAATAATTCTATATTTTTTTTAGAATTTATTATTTATATTATTTGACACTATTATTTTCTTTTCCTTAAGCTATTTGCTTCTTATTTGGTATGTCAGAAAATCTAAATAGAAATTGAAATCCCATTACTTAAACTATGTTAAATGTTTAATAATACCTTTGAAATATGTATAAATACTAATTTGCTAGGCATAGTCATTCCACGCCAAATAATTACCAAAGATTTATGATTATTTCCAATTTACCCTTTTAGGTATGCTCTATAAAGTAGGCATGTTGATGATGGTTTATTTTGCAAATTATGACCAGCAGACGCAGACCTCAAAATAACTGCAAATTGCAGTAGATGAAAATGGCGGAAAATGGGGAAAATGAGGGAAAACTGGTTGTTGGGGGCTGAAAATATTTTACATACGCACGGCTCTCCAATTTATGCAGCATTTTGTGGCTGAGAATAAATAAAGCAATGAAAAGGGCACATAAAAATGAGAACAGCTTGGCCAAGAGACAAAAGAGAACGAAAGTACATAAATAAAACGTAACGAAGGCAGTTCGATTTATATTCATAATTTACTGAAAGGATTCCCATTGTGTTTGCCGAAGTGTTCGGTCATAAATGCCAGTCCTAATTGAAAAGCTTAATAAATTCCTTCAGCATATTGTTTATATTTAGCTAAAGGTTCATCAAAATTGACAAATTTAATTTTGTAAATTTTAATGATATAAAATCACTTGAATTGAGTCTTAATCCTTAAATTACATATTTACTACAAAATCTAGCATTTTTATTTTTATAAATAAGGAGAAATAATTTCACCAAAAGATGTAATTGCTTTATAAATTTTTTTATATATTTATGTTTCATGTTATATATTTATATATTGGGACTTCTACTAAATAATTAAATTTTAAAAGATATTTGGCTTTTTAAAACAGAAAATATTAAAAACGTGCAACAAGAACTTTATTGATGAAAAAATATATAAAGAATATTTTATACATAGATTTTTATTTCAAATTATTAATTTTATTTATATATTTTCATTAAAAAATAATTTAATTTTGTTACATACCCAAATACATTAGTGCATAGATTATAAATAATATAAGTTATATATTTTTATTTTATTATTAGTTTATATTAATTCATTTATATATATCTATGCTTTAGAATCCATAACATTTAAATTACATTTATATTTATCTAAGCAACATTTATAACAAATTTTTCATATTTCTTATAATTATTTTATTTTAAAACAATTTATTTAACCTAATTATGTATGTATGTTCCTTAAAAATTCGTAGAGTATAAGCAATTAATTAATGCCTTGCGTTTTAATTTCAGCTACCTTTACTTACCGTATTTTCCAAGTCACAAATTGCTTTCAGCCGTTGTGGCAATTGTGCAATTGAAAATTTCACGCTCTGCCAGCTACTAGCTCAGCGTAGGTAATTCAATCTAAAATTTCGTTTGGGCCTCCCCCATTTTGGCCCATTTTACGCCTTCAGCGCACGATGCTCTCTAGTCCATTTGCCATATCATTTGCAGCAGTCGGATTGCCAAGGCAAGCTGTCTGCCAACCTCCATTTCAGCTGTCTCGCTTCTGTTCATCTCCATTACCCATTACCAGAAGGGGGCTCAGCTGGTCATATATTTTAGCCATTATTGCCTTTCAATATGTTTGCTGCACATTTCAAGGCGAAACTGAACAAGGGCAACGGAAATCCGAAGAGTGACACAATAAATTTGGCATTTGACCAGCTAGACTAAGATAGTCCGATTTAAAGTTCAAGGGCAATTATGAGCGAAAGATTTTATTTTGTTTTATTGCGTTTGTAATCAAAAGTAAAAATAAATCTAAGAACAAAGTTTTACAAAATCATTTTATTTGTTATGTAAAAATTATTTTGTGTAATGTATGTGTATGTATGGGTAATACAAGACTTTAATGGTTAATTTTTTTATAATGGCTTTAAAAAATATAAATATATTTAATTTTTGAAATGCCATGTTTAATAAAACTTTTAGTATAAGTTGCTATTTATCTGTCAGTTAAGAAATATCGAATGCTGTCTGTCTTAGAAATTCCAGTTAAATTTGTTAAATTAAATTTGTTAATATTTTCACTCTATGAACCGAATCAATCATTTGATTATGTATTGTTCATGAACTGCAGTATAATTAAACTGTGAACAGGTCCTGAGCCGTACACACTAAAACCCATACTTTATTTTTTAGGAATTGTTCAATTGTTCACTTGTTAGATGAAGCCTAGATAAAAATATTTGATTGCATTATATTAATTATTTAATTATTAAATATTTAATAAATAATTTAATTATTTTCTCTCCGGCAACAATATATATATATATAATTAACTGTGTACGTTTCTGATAGATACGTAGACACATATGATCTACTCAATTGAACATATCGATCACAACTCACGTTATAAGTTCATTTAAATGAACCGTTCAATCGCAGTTTTCGTGAATGGAATGCCCCCAACTCTAGTTCCGATCGAAAGTATTTTTTGCGTCGCAGCCTAAAAGTAGGCAACAATAAAATAAGGGAAAATGTTAATGTTCATGTCTTTTATTGTGCATAAAGGCTCAGAGAGATGTGCGCCGTAGCCTAAAAATAAAATCCGAATGACGCAAATTTTATGAATCGCTTCAACGGCAGACACTACCCACAGCTAGACAAGAGCAGACAACAAAACCAAAAGGGAAAGAGAGATAAAGATGGATAGAGAGAGAGAGAGAGAAAGACTGAGATCCACCTTTGGCCAAGTGGCGTAAACAAGCAAACTCGTTTGGGACGGAAATGCAGCTGTGCAAAAGAAAAATGATAAAATAAGAAGCGCAGGGCAAAGGGAAAAGCTGCTGCGCAAATGCGCATTTAATTGCGCACTCAATGGGAAACCCTAAAATGGAGGCCACAGAATGGAAAACTGAAAGGGAACACACACACAGCCATAGACAAGGCAACCGGCCAAAGCCTTGGCCAGCTGTGCAGCGACGCAGTTTTTTTGGTCATTTCACAAAAAATGTTGAATGGACAACTGAATTAACGTTCCCATTTACCAAATGGCTTCCAGTTTGCACTAAATTTGTTATGGCCATTTGAGTTTTCTTTCTCTCTTTTTTGGCACCAAAAGACACTTTGTGAACACGGTTGCGGCACAAAAGTGTTTTCATAGTGACGCGAGAACCTTTAATTGGAAAGTTGAAGCCATCCTATATTTTTATTAATTATTGAAATATTAAGGTTACTTTTAAGAATTCGTTATACGAAGAAAGAATCGACCATATAAGTCGGAGCGCAATTGTTTATAGTTACACTATAAACTTAAACACAATCTAATAGCAATTTAAGGCTCG